AAGGTCTGAGAGCTCTCAGAAAGGAAGATTCCATAATGTGGGCTAGTCTAGTTGAACTTGGCCTTTAAAGATCTAATTTTAGTTAGATGGAGAGGGAAAGGGTAGGCATGATGTACAGGGGAATACCATGACAAAATCTATGGATGGGAGCAGGAAGAGTAATATGATCCAGGAAGAGTAATAACAAAGAGACCCACCTGGAAGGTAGAGAGCTAAGAGAGCTTCACAGTAAGCATGGGTTTTGGATGCTGTTTAGTTTCCTTTCAGAGATCACTTGGAGGCAGGGAGAAAGAAGGATGATTTGATTTTCACAGTTGTCAGCATTGTAAGTTTAATATGGTATGCAACTGATATGTTGGCTGGACCAATGAGGGGTGCTATTCCCACTTCCCACTCTGTGTACCCCAGAAATTTTGTCAGTGTTCCAGATTGGAGAGGAATTGGGAAAGACCATGCTTCCTATGCATTGGAGAGATTCATTCTCTGATGCTGCTGAGCTCAGCTTTTTTTTTTTTCATTCCCCCAATCATACTACTTGTCTCCATACTCGCCCCTCATGGTTGTCATCAGCTTAATATTGGTGGTGAAGAAAGACCACGAATAATCTCATCTCCCAAGTACCTTCCCTTGGACAGCTCCCTGCTCAAAGCTCCTTCCACACACCTGGATTTCTTCAAGCTCTCTATTCATCTTGTTTTTATCTAGTTTTCAGAAGCCAGGGCCTGTGAGTGAATAGGGAGGCACCAGCTGGCTCATTCTTTAGTCTCCCATACTCTTCTGAAAGGAGTTCTTAGGCAGAATGGGGGAGGAGGAGGAGATAAAGCAATGAGGATGTTCGTGTCCCACGATCAGTTTCTCAGACACATGTTGTATTCTCCAGGGGCTTTCTCTCAATGAAGCACCCCTTCTTTGCCTTCTCTTTCCTCCTTTCCTCCCATGACAACCCAGAATTTTCAATGTTAGGTTTCTGGAGTTTGGTTTTTATGGGTCAGTAACCCAATCATTAAGCTTTTACAGTTGTACAGGTCTTTATACTTTTCAAGGAGATTTTATGTCTTTAAAAAAAAAAGAATTTTACTTTATCTTCACAATAATCCTATTGGAGAATGAAGATCAATGATACTTTATCCCCATTTGATAACTCCCCCCCCAATAAAAGATGGAACTTATGCCTGAAACAATGAAGGACCTTCTCAAGGTCACATAGCAGGTCACCTGGAGAGGCAACACTAGGACCTAAGCCTTCTGACTCAGGAAACCCAACATTTGTTGGTTATTGAGAGAAAAGGGGAATGCAGGTTGACCAGGAAATTGGCAGTTGGTATTGACTGGTCAGGGAGTGGGGGAGGGAGGGAGTGGAGCATTGAGATAGTTCAACCCACGATGGACAACATTGGTTCAAGTGCCAAGGGGATACTGGTATGTTTGGCTTGTATGTTTGGCTTGAATAGGAAAAGCCATAGTTAGAACTTTTCACTTCACCACGGGCACCCTTGCAGTTTCTTCCTTTTCCTCCATTGCATCTACAGTCCTGAAGCTAATGTGTTGGAGGTCCACTGAACAGGAAAATACCCCGTGCACGTACACTTCTCATAACTAGGACGTGGTTGGGCAGGTGTCCAGGGCATCTGTCTGCATGCATGGTTTTTGAGTAGCTCTGGAATCCAGGTATTGTGACTTGAGACATTTCAGGCAATAGAACCTGGGGAGAAGAAGAAAAAAAGTCAAGAATATTATCTGTAGCCCTAGGAGGAGCTATAGAATCAGGGCTCCATAGGAGCAGAATAGACAAGGGACAGACTCTTTCCCAGAAAAAGGCCCAAACTCGTTCAATACATGTTAAATACTTTTTGAATCTGAAGTGAGGAGACAATGTGACTAGGATTTCATTACTTACGCAAATGGATTTGCTTTTAGTAGATGGAGCCGAAGCCTGAGAGCTGTTCCCATGGGGGGCAGTCTTTGTGGTTCCTGCAGCTGAAAATGTTTTTCCAGTGTGTTAAGAAAAGGTGGTGAGGGGTTCTTTGGGTGGGGAAGAGATGAGAGACTTTGTAATTTTTTTTTTCTTGCCAGGTGGAAACATTTTAACCCGGGTCTGTTGTTCCATCACATTTTAGAAAGTTACCTGTTGAACGAAGGGATAGGGGTTAGGGAGAGTTTTCAAAGGGGGATCCAAAACAAAATGCAGGACTTGAATTGGCAGCATAGAACTCAGCTGACCAGACATTGGCCAACTTGGCACCCTGGTTTTGTTTTTGTGTTTTCAAGGTGTTTGTGAAGGGGGTGGTCATTATGTATGGCTACCTTTCTACTCTTTCTTTTCTCACTATCTTCCTGCCCTTTTCCTTCTTTCTCTCTGTCCGGGATGCTGTCTCCCTCTCTCTCTGCTTGTCTGTTTGATGGCCTGCCTTGTCCCTGTACTCTCCATTTCTTGCTCCCTTTCCTTCTCTCCCCCCACCCCTCCACCCCATCCCTTGCTGCCTGTCTTTGCCTCCTTTTGCTCTCCTCCGACTCATTTCCTGCCCTCCCTGGAGGAGTTAAGCAGGGGCGATGCCAACCCTGCAGACTGTTTGGAATAGTTTAAATGCTTTGACACTCTGGATGTACTAGATGGCAGGGGAGGCAGTTTACTGGGTAATTCATATGCAAAACTGCACTATAAATTTAAAGCCTGTCTCAGTTGCCGTGGCACCACTAAGCATTTCATCAGCGTACAGTACAGTATTTCTGCCATCTTTGTTTGCATTGCAGTGAGTCATCAAAAGTCTGTCTTGTACCAACATTCGGAGCCGTGCATTCCTCTGGCTCTGAGATTTCGCTGTTTTTAAAGCTTCAGTTTGAAGTTGGCATTTACTCCGGGTCCCTAATCAAAGACGGCTATTCATTCCCCAGAGCAGCCTGAATGTTCATCTGCATCCGGCCTGTTCATTTAGATGCCGTTCGCTGCCTGGGAGATTGGACTGGCTAATATAGCCTCAGCTCCAGTAGATACAAACGGAGGGCTGGAGACTTTTTTCCCCCTCCCTCCCCCTGCTGCCCCTCCACCCTGAGTGCACGCTCTCCTCCGTTTGCTGCAGTTCCCGTAGAGGCACAAGTCACTTAGCCAGCCTTTGGCGGTGACAACCTACAGTCCCGCGGTGTCCTAAGGTAGGTTTGCCAGCCAGGAGACTGGGAGCCAGTAAAGTTCTTTCTCCAGAGAGTGTTCTTGCCTTCTCTTAGACCTAGAAGCACAGTGAGATTGCCTGTCTGGCGGCTTGTCTCTTCCTCACTCCTTCTTTCCTTCCTTCCTGTTCCTCAGCTCTGCAGATAGAACCGGACTTTTTTCAGAACAGAGCAGTCCTTTGTGTAGGACTTCTGGCCTTTTCTAAATTGGCTGTTTTTGTTTATTTTTTCATAATTTTCTCTCCTCTTGCCCCCCCCTCCCCCCTTTTAGAATTTAGCATCAGGTAAACATCTCTTGAGTCCCTCTGCCGGGTTCTCATGACCAACCAGGATCTGTCTTGTCCTGGTCCAGTTCTCAAAGCTTCTCTCACTACCACCCCCTCACCCTGTTTTCAGTATCTTTCCCTTCCTGGCAGGCTCAGGTTGGGATTTCCCCTGCAGTAATGAGCTGCTTAGGGTATTGGAGTGGGGGGCAGGGGTACGTAAGTTTGGACAGCATGTGTCTTTGTGTATCTTATAGTTAGTTTGTGACTCATTTGTAGGTGCAGCTCAGACCAACCAGTTTGGGTTTGGAGACTTAACTGTTTGGATTCTTCATTGTGGGGGGGGGGACGACTAGAGTGCTCCTCAGTCCCTTAAAATAGCTAACTGGAGACCATAGCTTTAAAAGGCTACTAGATCTTGGAGTGTTGTTGGAAGGCAGGGGGCAAGGGATGGGTGGAAGAAGTTGTCACCAGGGAGTTGACGACTAGTCTAAGGGATGGAGTTCTCTCTGCTGTCTCTTAACCTTCTCTAATCCCTCTTTTTTCCTTCTGGTCATATCTTTTCTCTTTCCCTGAAAGTCAAGAAAGAAAAAGGGGGAGGGGCGGTGGGAATAGACCATCAGATCTTTTCCTGTTGGAGTAAAAGGGTCTGGATGCTTTTAAAGAAAAAAAAAAATCAAGACTTAAAACCTCTTGCCCTGATATCCTGCACTACTCTAGCAAATATTTCTCCATGTCTGTGTCTGCCTCTCCCTCCCTCCTTCCTTCCTTTCTTTCCTCCCTCTCCTCTCTCAGATGGGTACATACATGTCTCGGACCATGGGTAGGGGAGGATTGTGTTGCTATTCAGGAAGAGTGCTAACTTCCAGAAATGTTGCAGGGGAAGAAAAGAATACCATCAGTATTGGCAACGTTCCCTGGGCCCTTTCTGAAACCAAAGGTTTCTTGTCTGGGCCACATCAAATTGCTGATCTGCAGTCTCTTGTCTGCCTTAGGTGTCTGGTGGGGGAGGTGGGGAGGGAAGGGTGGCAATAGAGGTGTTTAATTCTCCCTTCAAAAGCTCCATTCCTTTTCCTTTTTTTTTCCCTCTCCCTTTTGAAAAACATCTTAGCATTGAATGCTTGGAGATGGTTTAGAGGAAGGAGAATTCAGAGACCAAGCAGATATTTGGACTTTGGGTCTTCGTTTTTTTCCCCTCACCTACTCTTTTGGTTTTCTTAGTCCTGCTTCCAAAGCTGGGTTTCAGTGTAAAAAAACAGACTTGCTGCTTAAGAACCTCTGATTTGGAATCATAGTGAGGACAGGACTGTGCAAGCAGGGAAGCTGGTCATAGGGGGAATGTGGACTTAGAGATGATGCCTTCCCCCTTCTCTGTCCTTTTTAAAGCAAAACAGCCATTTAAACCTTTTATGGTTGGGCAGCTGATGTTCTCTCCACCACTTCAGAAGCTTCTTGAATTGTGAATTTTCATTCTATTTTCACAAATTTTCATTTCCCCAGATAAGAAACTGATCCGAACTTGTCTCCTCTCCATCTCTCCCCACCATCCTGAACCTCCCCTGTCCTTCTTTACAGATGTGCCCTTCTTTGGAACCAGCTGTGTTGAATGTCTAAGGTGTCCTGGCTCCTTGCCCAGTCATGTCCCAGATGTTGCACATAGAGATCCCCAATTTTGGGAACACTGTCCTGGGCTGCCTGAATGAACAGCGTCTGCTGGGGCTCTACTGTGATGTCTCCATAGTCGTCAAGGGGCAAGCCTTCAAGGCTCACCGTGCGGTCCTGGCGGCCAGCAGCCTCTACTTCCGGGACTTGTTCAGTGGGAACAGCAAGAGCGCCTTTGAGCTGCCGGGCACAGTGCCCCCTGCCTGCTTCCAGCAGATCCTCTCCTTCTGCTACACTGGGAAGCTCAGGATGGCGGCAAGTGAGCAGCTCGTGGTGATGTACACGGCCGGCTTCCTGCAGATCCAGCACATTGTGGAGCGGGGCACAGACTTGATGTTCAAGGTGAGCTCGCCCCACTGTGACTCACAGACCGCCATGATCGAGGACACCAGCTCGGAGCCCCAGAGCCCCTGCAACCAGCTGCAGCCAGGCCCTGCACCCTATGTCATGTCCCCCTCTGTGCCCATCCCGCTTCTCACCCGTGTGAAGCATGAGAACCTGGAGCTCCAGCCGGCGGCAGGCCCAGGCCTGGCTGCCAAGCGGCCCCTGGAAGTTGGGGCCCGGGATGGATCGGGGGGCGGCGGGGCGGCAGTGGGCGGGGCGGCACCTCTGAAGCTGTCTCGAGTCTCGTACTATGGGATGCCCAGCCTGGCCACTCTCATCCCCAACATCCAGCAGGTACAGTACTCCCAGGGTGAGAGGACCAGCCCCGGGGCCAGCAGCCTCCCCACCACTGACAGCCCCACCTCCTACCACAATGAAGAGGATGAGGAGGACGACGAGGCCTATGACACAATGGTAGAGGAGCAGTACGGCCAGATGTATATCAAGTCCACAGGCAGCTACTCAGGTAACGTCACACAGCCAAACGACAATCGTTGGTCTTTTCCTGGTGCCATTATGCTTTCTAGAAGGGTTCATGGGGGTTTGTACATTTGAGACTCCCCATGCCTTGGGGGATAGAACATGAGCTAACCCATGACTTGGATTAGGCTTCCTGTTCTCAGGTGGGGAAGATAAGGCCCCTGAAAGTTCCATAGCTCACTGAAGGTTACTGAAAAGGGAATGACTTAAAGTTATGAGTAGGAACCTAGGGCCCAGAGCTTTGTTTTTGTTGTTACTGTTGTTTTTTCAAATTTCCCTAATTCTCTCTTTCTGTAGCTACCTTTCTAGTGGGCTTTAAAATTTCCTGAGGTTTGAGAGGAGACAGGTAAGACTTAGCAGGAAATCACACATGCCCCTTTCCCATGTTCCCTACGCTGCATCCATGTCACTTTTCCAAGCAATTTTCCAAGAGGCCAAATGGGGATAAGGCTGCTTAACTTGGAGATGGGACGATCTCTTCTCTTGTCATCTCTGTTCCCTTGATCTTCTTTTGCCTAAGTGACTTGTAGCTGTAGGATGCTGGGGACTGAGGGCATCCATCATGTTGACTACAGAAGGTAGTTGCTGGGGTCATAGCCGCAGAGACTGAGCTTGTTTAGATTTGATGGCATAATGCTGCTTTGCATTTGATCCTGGAGGGCCAGTAGTTTTCCTGGTGTCTATTTGCCTTTCCTTGTTCCCAAGACTTGTAACTCATTTATGTTCCCTCTCTGCCAGGGGGAAAGCCAGTTTGGAAATTGGCTCACAAAATATCCTCGGCTTGATGGGTTTTCCTAACTGTATCCTCTTCAGCGGAGAGAGGTGGATGACATAAGCTTTTTTTTTTTGTGGGGGGGGGGTGAGGTTCAGTACCCAGAATAAGTAGAAAGGCTTATTTAGCCCCAGCATGCAGTTGGGAGGTACCTACCTAATTGGTATGCAAGGCCTGGACATGGTATACTCAGCAGTTTGCATTCTCTTGAATTTTCACAATGATCAGAGTGGATGGGGGAGAACTTGCTGCTCTATCTATAGTCTTGTTCTATATACCTTGATCTGAAAGTGATGATGGGGAGGGGAGGGCGGGACTTGGGGAGGGATAGGGAGCAGGGCAAACATCCTGAGAGGAGATGCTTGTCATTCTTCCTTGTCTGCCCTTCTTTCTTAAATCTCTTTGCCAGCTCCTATGACTGATCTAGTTAGCAACAAGTTTTAGTAACCAGTTTCCTTTTGCTCCAGTTTATTTTCTGATTTTTTTTCTTTCATCATAAGGCTGTGTACTGCATTATTTTCAGAGAGAACAGTTATTGAGATGTTTTCCTTTTTTGAATATAGTAATGGTGAGCAGGTAAGCTGGAAAGACTGAATTACATATATTCAGAATACCAGGACAATGTTGGTCTGGTTTAGGCACATCATACAGGAAAACCCAGGTCACTTGCCTCCAGGGATCTTTCTCTTTCCACTTGAAATTTAAAAGAGTTGGAGCACCAATATTTCCCTTGAACGGATATGGTTCTGATAGAAAGAGACTTTGAGAGGGGAGGCTGTTCATGTCTCCAAAGCCCACTGGCCAGGGGTACAACCAAGAGAGGGTTAGTTAGCACTTGCTTCCTGTGCTACAAAGTAATTCTCAAGGAAGCCAGCAGCTCCCTATGGGTATGTGCACAGAGAGCTGGTTCTATGGATGTAAAATTCTGTTTTGGAGGGTGCCCTGTATTTTAAGTACAGGGGCAGCATGTTGGATTTAGCTGGGGATTTGGGTCAGCAAACGGTATTGTTTGTAATTTGGCCTCAATAATTCAGAGAATTTCTCACTCTGCCCCTCCTGAAAACAAACTGTGTGTGCATTTATGTATGTGTGCTTGCGCGTGCAAATGCCTTCTGACAACAAGGCCTGTTTGGCCTGCGGGAGAAGAGAAATCTGTCCATCAGTGCAGTTTTCTCTGCCTACCATTTTAACAGAGGAAGCTCATGTCACACGATGTTGGGGTGGGGGAAGGCTCTGCCAGTGTCAGAGGAGGGGTGGTTCCACCAGAAAAATGCAGTCTTCTTATAGTAGAGGGGAGACTACTACGGTGGTATAGTGGTGCCAGGCAGGGGTTGGCATCCAGTAGCATGAGTTGGCAATAGGCTTTGAAGAGGGGGGCACCCACTAGTCTGAAGCTGCAAAATCTCTCCTGCAGTAAGCCGAAATCAAATGGCTTACTGCCCAGACATCTAGTTTTAATGAAATTGGTATGCCTAGTTCTCCTTGTACGGAGATCAAACTCCCAATTCAGGTACTTGCTGGATTAAAAAAACAAACCCAAAAAAACCCCAAACTAGAAATCAAGAGAACTTAATTCTCCCCTCCACTTGGCCACCAGCATATTCTGTCTTCATAGGCTTTGTAATGTTCAATGTTCATCCCCCCCATACATTATGAGCAATGACAATGAGGAAACTGAGGCCCATGCATGTGAAGTGACTCATTCCAGGTCACATAGAGGTAGAAGGGTAGTAGAAAGAACACTAGACTTGAGGGTGGGAGAGCTATATTTGAGTGGTGGCCTAAAAAATTTGTTGGTATTATGTGTGTGATCCTAAGCTTTAAGTCAGTTTCGCTGTGATCATCCCCCTTATCTTTAAAAGGAGGGTCAGAATGAGACTTGGACTCCTCATCTCTTTGGGTTGATGTGGGGAAAGAGCAGTGGTGAATGTTACAATGTTAAAGCAATGAGTGGTTGGTATTTCTTAGTGCCAGAGCCAAGGCTAAAAGTCCAGTCGTGGTTCCTAGTTCAGATCTTACCACCATAGTACATACTGTTTATTCTCTCTGCACCTCAACTTTCTTATCTATAAGATGGGGCAAGTAGTCTGACCTATCTGAGGGGAGTCTTAGAAGGATCCAGTGAGGTAGATGCGAATTCACTCTATAAAGTATAAATTGCCGTGAAGATGTGGTCCATGGGGATGTTTCACTGAACTAGTTATTATTCATACTCTTACCGGAATCCCCTCAATTTAAATTCTGACCTTGGCAGAGGTAACTTACTCTCCTCTCCATTGCATCCTTCACACCATTGTTTGTAACTATAGCATAATGCCATTTCTCCAAGGCTGTGATTGTGTTTTAAAGTGGTTCTCCAACCATAACTGGGTCAGGGAAATGTGGTGTGTGTTTGTTTTTCTTGGTTAGAATCTAGGTTATTTGAAATAGTGCTTTTGACATTGCTGTCTCTTTTGGGAAGACTAGTCTGGCCTCCCAGAAGTGCCTCTGCTAGAAGCCACTGATGATGTTGTCAGGAAAGGGTTTTCTGGGGATGGGTCATGAAATAAAATAAGTGTTTTCATCTTAGTGGTTTGCACAGTGCTTTGTAACACAGTAGGAATACAATCAACTAGTCACTCAGAGAAATAATTTAAATAATAATTATTTAACTGTCTCTTCCACTACCTTCCACACTGAATACATTATCTTTATTCTTTTGGACTCATGGTTTATCACTGAATTGATTGGAGTTCTAAAATCTAAAATGTTGTCATTGTGTTAATTATTTTCCTAGGTCTGCATCAGTTCATAGATTTCTTCTCAGTTTTCTCCATCTGAGACTGTCCATTTCATCATGGCAAAATAATACTCCATTATTCCCCTATATTCTTCAACAGGAGAATTAGTTTCTAATTTTTTGCTACCACAAAGAGAGCAGTCAGTTTAATAATAAAATCAATTGCATTTTACCATACTTTCAGGCTTGTACTTTACATACACGATCTAATTTGAGCCTCACAAAAATCCTGTAAGAAAAGTAAGTAAAACAGAAGTTACCCAGTCTTCCTAGGCAAGATAACCTGACATGCAGAGATTAAGTGACTTGCTTGTGATCACTCAGTTTAATAATCCTTGGAAGTGCTACTCAAACTTGGCCTTGCTGATTCTAACCCCAGTAGGCTTTATAATACCTACCACATGCTATCTTTCTAAAGAGGCTTTGAGGTTCTTGTTTTAAATACGCTCTTGGGATAGAATGTTGGGAATTTTGTCTTGACTTTAGCTTCTTCTCCTGGGGGAGAAGGGGGGGAGTATTCATTCATTGGCTCCTTTCAAGAGTTAACATGAAAAGAATTCTCTATTTTCACTCTAATTCCTTCTCTTGACCTCTGGCTGTGGGGAATCAGACACAAAAGCCTCCTACACTAGGATGGGCTTTTGGCACAAGATGACCCTTTGGAATTTGTTGTGTTTTTATCTGCCACTTCACTAGTTAGTAATAGCAAGCACCCTGCTAAGTAGACTGGAACCTTTCCACAAGTTCTCGGGGATCTGGGTGAGGGGGATGGGTGGTTGCTTGTAGGGAGAGGACATTTTCTGGAAGGCAAGTTTTCTCTCTTCTTTGAGCCAGTAGAATCCACAGGCTTCTTTTATTCTCAGAAACAGCCTTTGCATATAAAAGAGCCCCTGTGAGTCATTAGGCTATTCACTTAACCCTCTGGGCCTCAGTTTCCTCATATGTAAGATGAAGGGACTGGATTAGATTGTCGCTAGGATCCCTTTAAAGCCTTAATCAGTTTATGATTTTACACATATTTTCATATTTAACAAGTCCACAGTGGTTGGTTTTGAGCTGCCATAAAGAAATACAAGGGGCTCTCTGCTTCTACACTACATTGCTTTGTCAGCCCAGTTAGTTGGAACTGCCAATTTTGAATTCACTTTGTGATAACACAGCTGTAAATTGTGCTAACAGTTTTTTTGCGCAAGTATCTCAGGTCCCTTCCCCATCTCTTCCTCCTTAGCTCCTGTTTAAAATGTTTCTTTTTCCTGAGACTTGGATGGCAAATTCCTACCAGTTAACTTCCTTGGACACATATATAGTATCCTTTCATAGGCAAGGATGGCCTAGCAGGAAGAGCACTGATGTGAATGTCTGATGAAAAAAAAAACCTCTGGATTTAGAGTGGGAACACTGGACCCTGCCACTAACTAACATGGAATCTTGGTCT